CTAACTACAGTCCTGCTGGCTTCTTCCCTAACTACAGTCCTGCTGGCTGGGCTTGGACACCGCTGGGTGTGGCAACCCCTCCTTTCTTCTTACCGCCCACCCTCTTGCACACATCTCCTTGCTACCCGGACCTTTCAAGGTGGTCGCTCTCTGGGTGGCTGGTCAAGTTCTGGGTTAACCTCAGGTATAGGTAGAAGGGAGAAATGCCCAGGAGTCTAGAATGTTCTTGAGTGAGTGAGTTGTTGATGGTTTGATAGACAAGGAAACTAATGCATATCTAGGGGTGCCAGGGTTATTCTCTGAGCCTGACATGAGAGAAATAGCAACACCGGGGAATGCCCTCACTGGGCCCCCTTTCTGGCAGTCCTCACGGGCAAAAACTTGGTGAAGATATCATAAAAGTAAGTCCCTTCTTTGTGGCAGGCGCCTATGGTCTCAGGTACTTGGAGGCTGAGGCAAGAGAATTGCCTAAGCCCAGGAGCTGTGAGCTGTGATGCCACTGCACTCTACTGAGGGTGACAGAGTGAGACTCTGTCTCTAAAAAAATAAATAAACAAGTCCCTTCTAAACCCTGAGTTCCAGGGCTCCCCATGCTGCGGGAGGTGACGTGCAGCTGGGGCTCATTTTGCTGAGCTAGTGGTGTCCTCTAGGCCCCCAGTACTCTGAGTAGCACCAGCGCACAGGAGGGAGGGGGCAGGCTGGTTAGACCATCTCCCATTGGTGGCCAAGTGGACATCCCACAAAATATGAGTGGGACCCTCGAGGCCAAGTTGGGTGGAGAAACCAGCAGATAAGAAACTGCAGGGACAGAGGAACCCGAGCACACAGTCTAGACTAAGTTATGCAAATTGTGCTCAAAGGGCTATCAGTTCAAGAATGTAAAGAATGTGTGCATTTAAATGAGCACCTGCAAGAGAATGGGGTCAAGTGCCATTGTGGAAGTCCCCAGCCGGGGGGGTGGATTTAAAAATGCAAAGATAATACTGTGAAAAATGGGGTCTCATGTGCCCAGGCTTACAGGACAGGGTCCTAGGCTCATTCCTGCAGGCTGAGGCTGCTCCCCAGGCCAGACTCAACCAGCGGACCAGTGAGCCAGCAGCCACCAAACCTGCTGGCTTCTTTCCAGAACCCACTGCCATCAGACCTGCAAAGTGACTTAAACCCCCTGGGACAGGGAGTAGGTGCTGCAGGACTCATAGGCCTCCACCTACCCCCCAGAGCAGAGGAGCTGGAAACAGACTCCTGAAAACTGCAAGCTGAGGGCATGGTTGGCTCTTATTTATTTTCCCTCTTTGGATAAGGGGTGGCCGGGCTCTGTACCTGCATCTGGGACATCAGGGAGGCGTCCCTGCTATGCTTCAAACCTACTTTCAGCCAAAGTTGTCAATTATTCAGTTTCAATATGTGAGTATGGCAGCCAGGGAAGAAGTGGGCAGATTCACATCTGATTTCGTAGTTATCAGGGTCACACTAGAGGCAGATGTTCCCATCCTGTATTCATCTTCCTGAACATTCCCCCGAACCACAGTTCTGGCCTCTGTCCCTGTAGTCTGCATGTGGGTACCCTCTTGGCTGCAGTCTGCATGTGGGTGCCCCCTCAGCTGCAGTCTGCATGTGGGTGCCCCCTCGGCTGTCCCCTCAGCTGCAGTCTGCATGTGGGTGCCCCCTCGGCTGTCCCCTCAGCTGCAGTCTGCATGTGGGTGCCCTCTCAGCTGCCCTGATGCTCCAGGAGCTTCTCAGGGTGGCTGGTGCTGGAGAGGGCAGCTCATAGAACCCGGTTGGTCACGCCTACACCTGGGAGCATCCGCAGCTACCCCTGCCCCTTCTGGTTGAATTTCTTTCTTTCTTGTTAATGTCTCCAGCAAACACAGAAACTTGGGCTAAATTTTTTTCATAATCAGCATCTGGGGAAAAAATTCATTCTTGCTGAGATTTTATGCCTCAATTGAAAAAGAAGAGATTTTGCCATTTTTTAAATCATGTAAATGGTTCCAAAATAATTAATATGTGATTTGATTCATTTTTGTCACTGATTCTTTTACTCAACAGCTACTGGTTTCTTGCTTCCATGTGTAGAGCAGGGACTGTGCTGGGCTTTGGACACCAAGGGACGGACACAGCATGTGGCCCCAGCCTCAGGCACTGACAGAGCCTCCTTTCCATCATTTGCTTTTAAAAAGCCAACATTCAGCCCACGGTGGTGATGGGCTCCAAGAGGGTGTTTGTTCTGCTGCCCAGAAGGGGGGTGTAGAGTAGCGAGCCCTGGGACAGGACCACTGAGGACCCTGTGAGAGCCAAACTAGCTCCATTTTGTTGTTTACTGCACAAGCCCCATTCCTAGCTGAGCCCCATTCCCAGCTGTTTATTGCACAAACCCCATTCCTGGCTGTTTACTGCATAAGTTCCATTCCTAGCCCTTCTGCCCCAACCTCTGCCAGTGAAACCTGCAGGGCTACTCCCTGCTGCCTCCCCCCACCCCAGGTTGCACAGCCACTGAGCCATAAACTGAGTCACCTTAGGATAATAAACAATAAGTTTCTATTACCTTGAAATACAGGTAATCAAGCTGCCACGACCCTAGCCTCTGGTTAAGAAATCCCCCACCCCTCACCTGTACCAATCCAAATCCTCCTTTACTAGTGAAATCATTAGCCACCAATGCAAATCCTCCCTTACTAATGATATCACCAACCACCAATCAAAAGTGTACTCGTACTGGACCCTACCTTTCTTGCTTTCTGTACCCCATAAAAACTTGCTCCACCCTGGGTTCGAGGCTCTTTCTTGGTGTGTACACTAGGAGAGTCCAAACCTGGGTTTGAATAAACCTTACCTCTTGCCTTTTACATCGGAGTGTGTCTCGGACTGCTTACTAGGGCTATTTGGGAGAATATTTTCGGGCATAACAACCCGAGGACACTGACATGGTGACTACGCTCTGGGGTCACATGGTACACATGGGCCTCTCTGAGCAGGAGAGCTTCTGTGAGGCAGACTTTCTGTGCCTTAGTTTCCTCATCTGTGGACTGGAGATGATATTGCTACCTCCCTAAGAGGCTGCTAAGAGAGATAAAGGACTTGGCTCAGAGGAGGGTTGGTACTGAGACTTTCCTCAGGGTTAGCTGCTGTCCCTACCTTTATTCCTGTGTGTTCCTGTGTGGCACCCAGCCAGGAATGGTGAGGACATTCAGGGAGGGAATAGAGGTCCCTGGCAGAACTGGGCGTGGCAGCGAGAGTATGCACAGGCTATCCTTGCACACAACACTCTCCTCTCGGCCTGCTTCCTTCTGCCTTTATCTCCATGGAGAGGAGAGCATCAGAGTGGCCCTTGCAGCAGCCAGGGCACCTCTGTGCACCTGGAAAAGAGGCTCGCTCTGTCAGCCACCAGGAAAGAAGGGCCCCTCTCCTGGGCAGGAGCAGGCAGTGTGGATGCTCAGGGCTGGCCTGAAGAGCAGGGGCTGTGTGCCAACCCCTAGATGGCCTAGGGGTTGGGACCCACCTGCTCTGAGAGCAGAAATACCAGGGGGAATGACAAGAGGGACGACACAGACCTGGGACAAGCAGGAAGCCAGAAACCAAGAGCCAGAGCCATAGGACACCTGCCCAGAGGGCATATTTGGCGCTGGCAGGAGCCAGGTCAGGGCTGGGGAGGAAGGTGGGTGGGCTACACACAGCCCAGAAACTTGCCATCACCTGCTCCCCACGTTCCACACTCCTTCCCCATTCACTTGCACCTCTGTGAAATTCTGCCCGGATTTACTGAAAGCATTGTTGTTCCTCATATCTAACTGGGTGACATTTAGAACAAAACACATGAACTTTAAAGACAGTCAACATTTGGAGACCATCAGAAAACCACATCCATGGCTAGGAACAGGGCTATGCACACACTCTGGGAGAAAACCCTAACCAAGGCTCTGGCCGTGGTGGGACACAGCCCTGGCAGAATGCTCGCCCACAAGCCAGCTGCCGACTGGTGGGGCAGGGAGCTGTGCCCACCTTCTCTTCGGGAATCTGGGGCTTCCTGTACCTGAGACCAGGGTGAGGCAAACCAGCTGCCCCTTGAGGGGGCCGAGGCTGCGTACAGGGGGTGCTTGGGGCACGGAAACAGGGCACAGGCGCGGTCCAGCTCCAGGTCGGGCTTTGGCAGATGCAAACACTTCTTGGAGGCCAGCTCTCGATACTTCCCGGAAACGTACTTTTCCGCACACCTTAAGAATCTTTTCTGCGTTCCTCTTTCACATGTCACAGGGCACTGAAAATAGGAGAGAAACGCTGTGAGTGAAAAGTGCCTTAGTTTCCCTTGAAAAATTAGTGGGTCAAAATGTTCCCCAAAGATGCAAGCTTGGACATTTATATATGTGGACATTAAATGACATTTATTGGACCTTAGTATTTTTAAAATAAAAGGCATTATAGTCTCTATCATAAGGAAAGGAAGATCTGGAGGTCACAGTGGCACATCATCATGGGGTGTAGGCAGGGACAGGGCAGTCAGAAGCCACGAAGGGTGAAATTCTAAAGCTACCACTTCACTGGAAAATTAAACTGTCCAGCTGTCACTGATATTAGTAGGATGTACTGAAATTTAATACCCAAGGGCAGGGGGGAAACCCCACAACTCAATGGATGCATCCACCCAACTGCGGGTGTAATGCTTGGCTCTAAAGTAGGGGCAGGCTGAGCAAACCCAGGGCTCACAAATCTTCCAGAAACCTGAGAGCAGCCTGTACAGAAGGCAAACCCACTGCTTCCCTCCGAGGTGGCTCCCAGCTCCAGCTGTCTCGGCTGCCAGACACTCTAGATTGTGCAGAGGTGCCCTGGGCAAACCAGCAGGCCGGGAGGAAGGCCACAGCCCTGCTGTGCAAGGACACACAGGAGCAAGCCACACGGTTGAACCACAGGGCGCAGAGGGGTCTCTGGGGACAGGTTAGCCCCTGGGACTGCTGACTCATGCTAGGTGGAAGAGGTGACCACCTCCCCCCACGTTGAGTGCTGGATTGTTGTTACCTAGGCAGGTGTTACCGGGGCAACACCTGTCCACGTCGTCCCCCCCCCCCCTTGCACTCGTGCCCTTAGGCTTACCGTGTGTTTTCTGTGCCTTCATGGGGATGGAGTTGGGAGGCTCCCTTCATCGCTGTACCAGGCCTAAAGAGGGAAGCTCTAGGGGTGGGGTGCGTTCACCTGGGACCCCACCTACCTGGGACCAGGCGGACACTAGCCACTGCAGCTTCTTGTGGCCGTGGCAGCGCTGTAGGAGGCAGACCTCGTGCGTCCTGGGCTTGGTCTCTGAGGTACAGGATGCGTCGGGCAGCAGCCGCGCTTTGGGCCCAGGGTCGGTGCTCTTACAGGTCACCGCGCGCTTCCTCCAGCCCTTCCCGCAGGTTCGTGAGCACTGCAGGAGGAGTCTGCTCAGCACTGGGCAGGGTCCATGTGGGCAGGTCACCCCGCGGGGCCCAGCCGCCCCGGCCTTCCCCACCGTCCTCCGCCATCGCGCTTACCTCGGCCCAGGGCCCGGCGCTCCAGGCGGGCGGGCAGCGCTGCAGGTTACAGGCCTGGCGGCCCGGGGGCTCGGGGTGCGGGCACAGGCTGGCGGGGACAGGCTCCATGTGGTGGCGAGCGCGCCGCGTGCAGCGCACGGGCCGGGTCTGGACGCCTCCGCCGCACGTCTGGGTGCAGGTGCTCCAGTTCCCCGCCGACCAGCTGGGAGGGCACAGAGAGGGGCGTGAGGGCCATGGCCAGAGACGGTCCCCGCCACAGTCGGGGTGTCCTTTCTGGTTCCTGCTCTGCAACGCTTACAGAGGTCCTCAAACTTTTTAAACAGGGGGCCAGTTCACTGTCCCTCAGACCGTTGAGGGGCCAGACTGCGGCCCGTGGGAAGAGTCTGCTGCTAAGCAGGACAGGCAGCGGCCTCAAAAACACCTGGCAGGCCGGATAAATGTTCTAGGCAGGCTGCATGTGGCCGGCAGATGTAGTTTGAGGACGCCTGCTAGGCGGTTGCCCCTGTTGCTTTGATTTGGGGTAGGGGTGGGGGTCTGTAGTTCTTTCTTGCCCCTGGCTGCTGGGTTCCAGTGTCCTTGGAAATAACCCACTTCAATACAGGGTGTTGTTAAATATAAAAGCCTCGTACTTACTTTTGTTTGTAGGTAAGCTATTTCGTACCAAGTGTTTTTCCTGAAGAGATTCCAGTATATTTTTTTAAAAATTAGGAAAATCTATAATATGAATTTTTATGTACATAAAAAGAAAATATGTCAATGTTTAGGAACTGTCCACATTTACTGTGGAAATGCTTCCATTGTTTGGTGTCAACAAGATTAGTGCTTCTTCTTACACGCTAAACCATCTAAATTCTGCGTCCTTCCTGCGCAAGTTCCGTGTTGGGCTCCACGGCAGCGATGATTCTGCTTCTGGATCTCTGGTGGCCCCACTGCCACCTCTTGTGCTTTTGTGTGGCTTGCATGTCTCCTTTCCTTCCTTACATTTGCTCTCTCAGTCCTGCAGCCTTATAAATCATAACCGTTGTGTCCACATCAGGCTGTGAAAGACAGCTTGGCCGTCTGGAGGCTTTTCACACCATCTCATTAAGCCTCCTTCCCCAGGATCTCAACTGGGGATGTTCCAACTGGGCTGGTCCATTCTTTTCCCTCTGCTCCCAACTGCAAGTCATTACGAGGTCCTCCTGGACAGAGGTCATTCGTACCACATCACTCACACCACATGCCAAGTGTCTGTTTTGTTTCACAAATTGAGCTCTGGGGAAATGTCTTCATTTCAGATCATGAGCAAGTCAAAATCCATACAAGGTTCACTGCTAATGTCTCAGGCTTCTATGAACAGTAATAAGCTGTGTTTAGTAGCTGGTCAGTTGCTTGCCATAGGATCCCTGCTTTGTTTGGGTTTTCCTGAGTCCACCAGTTGGAACAACACAAGGGCTGGTATTACCCAACTCAGTCAGTCTCCGAGGCAGGGCACGGCAGGGCACGGCAGGGCACGGCAGGGCTCAGCACTCAGCAGCTTAGTGCTTCCCACTGCTCAGGGCCCATCCACGGCGCATACCTTTCTAATCCTCAGCGCTGCAGGAAGAAATGATGGAATTTAAAGTTCCTACTCAACAGTTTAGGTGGGATGTTCTGGTATCATTTTTTCAATTCTTAATATCCTTAGTGGTCAGCAGTCATTGGCTATTTCTCAAATGACTCTCCCATTTTTTAGAAAATAAAAAATAACATTTTGATTTGGGTATGTAATGTTTCCTTTTATCCAACAAGGATAAAATACCTTGTCATTAAGCAGCACACAAGCAGCTGATGTGTTGTGACAACAGTTCTGAGCCAGAGGCCAGTCCTGGCCTGGACCCTGGCCTCATGCCGCTCACAGCTGAGCCCCACCCAGGGTCATTCGAGCTCTGCTGATGGATTTAACATCAGTCTCTGTAAAATTCAGCATCAGTTTCTTTAATTTCTGTTAATTCTTTCTGAATTTTCAAGATCCAGCACTCTGCTGCTTTATTTTCAAGAATAACTCTTGGCCTTCTAGATAGAGGTCTCTGAGCCCAATAAAGGTGTGCAGTAATGATGGGTAGCAACCTTGCCACAGCACAGACCTGCAAGAGGCCATGCTCCTTCTCAGGGATGCACAGCTGGACTTAGTTCCAGAGGGGTGGTGTGGGAGATGGCCCAGGGTGGGGCTCTCCTGATCTGCACTGGGACAGGCTTGGTACACCTGGGTTTTAGACCATCAATGCATCTGTCACAGGGCTCCAGTAGCTTTTCGTAATTACGCCATTCACTTTTGTGACCTCTGCAACTATGCACATGCTCAGTTCCCAGATGACTCAGGGGTTAGGATAGCTGCCTACATGGCCTGAGAGGACAGGTAGTATGTGACTTCTAAAGACACAGCAACCTTCCCCTCCTATGAAACAGCAGCATTGCTATATGTGTAAATAATCTGAGATCTACCATGTTCTTCTTTAAAATTAAATGTTTTAGAGATAATAATGGACATTCAACAATAAACAGATGCCACTTTGAAAAGGCTTCCTTTTCCATAGGAAACACTTCAAAAATTAACTTTTAGACACGCAGGCTGGCTATAAGCTGATAGGCCAGTGGCCAAGGTTAGCAGAATGTGGGGAAAATTGGAAGACACAGGCTGACGTCCTAAGCCCCCTGGACATATGACCCAAAGCTGACTGGGGAGTTTATTACTGGTCTGTGTCAAAGGACATTTCTTCAGTATCACCTGGTGCCAGCTGCACTCCCAACAAGTTCAGAGGCAGCTGAAGGAGACAGAGTCCAGCTCTGAAAGAGACGATGATCTTGGTAACAGAGGTGCGAGTCACTGTGCGGGGCTGTGAGATAGACAGCACTGTGCCTGCATTCGCCACCCTCAGCAGTGACGCACGTAAGGCTCCAAATCCCTCTACGACCTGCAGGAAGTGCATCAGAAGTGACGGCAACATGTCACACGTGCTCATCCTCTCTCTGCCACAGTGGGTTTGCACAGATGTTCTGGATGCTGTCTGGGCAGGCCGGCCTGGGCCTGAGAGGACAGGCCTGGACACTGGGCCTTGCCGTCAGCACTTAGGAGCTTGCAGTTTCATAGTTGCTTCATCATCTTCAGCATCAACAGTCAAACTGCTTTGTTCAACTTGGGAAACTGAAGGAGAGGTTTACAGTGAGGGAGACACAGACATGGAGCTGTTTCCAGGTCGAACTCTCTGCTGAAGCACACAGAGCCAAATTGTGGGACATCAAACCTTCACCCGAGGAGGCGGGGCTCTGATTGTTAATTTTATGGACTGTGAAACGCCAAAGGTACGTGGACTGTTACTATTCAGAGGGGGACCTGCTGTTTTTACCTAGGTTTCCTGCCTCACTGTTCCATTAGCCAATTTTACTTTAAAAAGAATCTGTCAGGTCTACAGAGCATTCACTCTGAGGAGAGACAGGGAAAATGGAATTACAGCAGACAGACAAGGAGATTGACGTCAATGTTCAAAATGGCCTTAATTCCCTGTTTTGACAAAAATCCTGCATCTGAGGGTCTCCTCTCTGCAGAACACTGGGGGAGTTTGCATTTATTCCTGTACATGAAAGATTTTTAGCTCATGGAAGTTAAAAGGAGAAACATTCCATTCCAGTGACAATAGTGTGAGTCCTTTGCGAGGCTGCCCCTTCATCAGCTCTCCAGGAAAGGCTGGGACAGGGAAGCAGAAAGGACCCCAGAGCTGATCCTGTTCACCAATCTTGTCTTGCATATGGGGAAGCTGAGCTCCAAGAAGCCAGGGCTTCTTGAGTTTGGAGAAGATGCAAACAGAAGGGGACTTATTTTAGCACCAGTCACACCCCTAAAACAGAATTCATCTCTCCTTCACTGGAAAGAATGGGAGATTTTACTATTATATCTTCCATGTTGGGAGGGCGACCCCATAGAGCCGACTGTGCATGTAACAGACACCTTTGTTATGCCTCAAAAGATACCGGGGTGGGACACAGACATGGGGGTAAATCAGCCATCTGGACCAGACTGCACCTAAGATGGGGAACTGCCTGCATGTGCAGTAACCCCTCCACTGTGCCAGGTGTAACAGCCAAAATTCTCATGCCCAGGGATGGCACAAGGGGCTGTGAGGACCCTGGACCATTCACCTGTGACCAAGACAGTATTTTCCAAACTATAGCTGCCGGAAAGGCTCTCAGACATCTGCAGCCCTGCTGAATCAGAATGTGATGGCCCTGATGTTACAGGGGTTGGGGGTAGGAATCTGAAGCTTTGCAAAGCCCTGCCCACCCCACTGCTGGCAGTTGGAGTAGCAGCAGCTTTGGGACCCAGGATGAAGAAATGGGGTGGGCCTCTCCAGGTGCACCCTGGGACTGGCCACTGGAGCTCTGAACTACACTTCTCCTTCCATTTTGGATTCTAGTATTCACATTAACATTGTACTGATTTTATTTCATAACCATCAAGAGAATTAACTAGGACCTGCCAATAAAAAACTGGGCTGAAAGAAGTCTGGGGAATCAAGTCTTCTGGAGGAAACCAGATACCTTCATTCCTATTGTAAGTGCAGCAGGAAAGGCCAGCTGGGCTCCTCCGTGGAGCGGCCTCCCTGGCTGTGCACAGCCCTCGAGGATTGAGGATTTAGGATTATGTCCTACAGCGGGTTCCTGGCCCTGACTCGGAGGCTTAGCTCTTGCATGTGCAAAGTCAGGAAGGCGGAACTCTGTCCCAAAGAAGGACCGTCCTAGACCCCAAGTGGTTTCCGAGCTGGGTGGGAGGGCACAGCTGCTCTGGTCTACACTGTCTCTTCAACACTGGAATAAAGACAGCTGAGAAGTGAAGGTCACTGTCTCCCTTACTTATAGTCTTCCAAGCCTCTCAAACAATCCCATTTATCAAGAGGGGAGACTGCTATCCAAGGATATCTGTCTCCATGGTGCAAGGTCTTCTTGAACTTCTGGTTCACTTGGATGTGGCTGGTTGTCTTCCTGGAGTAATGGGTGTGCTCCTAAGTGGAGGCACTGTTCAGGTTACAAACACTCCTCTTATATACCACCCGCCACCTCGGTACAAAATCACTTTCCCCCGGGCAGGGCCGGTGTGGCTTCCCAGGAAGGACTCCTGTTTTCTGCTTTTTACTTTCTACGTATTTGTCAGGAGGGCAAAGCAGTGGAACGTTCCTGGGTTTGCTTCTG